AGCATTAGCACCTATGGGCCACGTTTTCTCCACTGGAAGGTCGCCCTAGAGGGCACTTTATCGCGTTTTTCTAGTCCACCAGTGCAACCGCAGGGTAGTAACTCTAGTGTCCTTGTATTCTAGGCTCATGTATTCAGGCAGCTGATAACCAGTGGTTAGTACTCTCTCGTTTCTGCGTCAGAAAATTGAAGTGACTGCAGCTCGCACCCTGGATGTAAATCCACTCAAAATGTAATTTGTAACGGCTATATCAAACATTTGGATCCATGCATGGCAAATTAAATATGTTGGTCTTGCCGATGAGGCCAGCACCTGTTTGGTCAATCAACACCAAGACTAATTCTCTGTAAATGTAATTAAAACGAGACCAGTGACGCTTACACTTACATCAGCCTGTAATTTGATTTTAAATTGACCTTTACTTCGACCATCACACCAAATCAGCGTAATGTATGGAGGGATGTAAAATTTTATTAATAGTGTGTGACACAAGATGACAAAAAATGACCTTTTATTTCATTACGGCCCCCCACTACTTCTCCAATTTAGTTAGCATGGCTGGATGAGCCCCATTAGGCTTAAAATTATTATTATTTTATTTTTTTGAGTCAGCTGAAATTCCACATTTAGAATAAGGACCAAAGAAGTACCCTAGACAAACAAACTGGTAGTGCATACTAAAGGCTCAAACTGACTGGTGTTAAACTAAAATGAGCATCTTTAATAAGCTTTGGTTCTCTGCAGTTGTCTTTTCCACCTATACTCACACACACATTAAACTAGACACTAGACAAACTAGACAAATGAACACTCTCAAATGTCACTCTCAAGTATTCATCTCCTGCTCAGTTTAACATTTCGCTGCGATTATGAACAAAAGCTTTCCCTGATGCTGCCGACGCTCCTGGCTCTGTCGCCACCCGTCATCTTTGTGAGAGAGAAGACAATTGGAGCTGAACTGCAGTGGGGGGGGGGGGGAGCAGAAATGTGAGTGATGTGAAAAAGATAGAGAGACAGACGGAGCATGTGAAGAGCCCATCATGCCAAATAAAGTATAAGCACAGATGGGGAGGGGGGGATCAAGAAGTGAAGACTGTAGTGCAGCAGGAAGTGGAGCTGGGTAGAGGTTTAGAGGAGGTAGGAGAGGGACATGTCCAATAACGGCTGCTGCTCACATGGCATGCTCCAAGCTCATGCGCTCCTTACTTCTCCCACCCTTCCTTCTCGCTTTTCTCACCCCGCCCGTCCATTTCTCCTCAATCAACCCATGCCAGTGTGCAGCCACCCCCACACTGTGTCCCTTTTCAATTCCATCTCTGTCACCTTTCTTTCCCTTGTTTCCATCGTCTTCTCACCCTCCCTCTCCTCAGTCCCTCTTCACACTCCATCACCCATGTTAGGTCCCTGCTCGCCCCTACCCTGCCCTGCCTTCCTCCATCTTGCCATCATTCCCTCTTTGTTCTTCTTTCTCCAGCCCTGTCTTTCTTTTCCAACCCCAAAGCAGCCTTTAGTTCCTCATACTGCAGGGGGCTTTGCCTGTCAAATGCCTCACAAATTAATGTTTCCCCTATAGAATATCATACATTTGCATTTTATTTGACATCATGCTGAGTGTTCTGTTAATAATATTTATGGATATACTGTATGTTTATATACTGTGGAAGAATAAAGAGGAATGGCAAATAATTATCTTCAACATTGTCTCTCCCACTGGTATAGTTGTTCTGTTAAACGTCAACAGAGAGCTTCTCTGCATTGCATTTACTGACAAAACTCCCCTCCTTACCAGGGCTTTCCAAAAAATAATCCTCTCAAACAGGATTACCTTTAAAGAAATATTGGCTGGTGTCCATATTTTCTTCTTCAGAAAAAAAATCATCTGAAGATTCTGCAATGGATTTATTTGACTGAGAATGACTGAAGGAAAGCCAGAAGAAAACAGCACTTACTGCAATGACGCATTAAAAGTTAGAGGAACTTGAAATTGTTATGCCACAAGTTAGGAATATTCCAGCAATCTAGTACTGAACTCCCATAAGGTTGAAGGACTCACAAGAGACCAGTTAAAAGAAGAAATAATTGAAGAAGTAGAGGCTGATATGTCCTTGTTAGTCACTAATACGGTAATCTTTATAAACAGATGGATGTGAATTCATAATCTGTAGGCAAGGGACCAAGATTTTGGCATCAGAAGCATTCTGGTTTCCGTTTGGTCAATTTTATTCGGACTACAACCAGGCTTGAGTGGACTTTGGTTGCCTGCAGGAAAACGGTTCCTGTAGAGAGCAAAAGAGGCGGAACGCACTTGCTAAAATGGAATCTTGCTAAAATGGAATCTTAGAACCCATCGGGTAGCGTCTGAAGATGATTTAGCTTTTTATTAGCCTTTTTGTTTTTTTATTTGTCGATGGTTTCTGAGATTGCTAATGAGGTGATATATCCAATAAAGCAACTTGACAGTGTCTCACTACATCTGATATTTTATCTTTTTTCAAATTGTATTTGACTGCCACTTCAACTCATTTCAGTATTTCAACACAAACTCTTGAGAGAACTTCAGTTTGATATCATGTTTATGTTATGCCATATTCTGTTTGTAGGGTTAGTATTGACATATTGTTCCCATCAATGTAATTTTCAATTGTCTTAAAACCTGTGTTGGTGTTTGCTAGGAGCACTTTTGTAACAAGGAAATATGCCAATTTAAAAGTTGTTATTTTTGTAATTTCACGTACAACAAACTGTATAGCTCTGTCATTCCTGTAGGCATCAATTTTCTGATTTTAAGTTTTGATCCATATTTTACCGTATGAATACATTTTTACCAGCAAAATAAATGGTTTTGCCATATGCAAAAAACATATGAATGCTATGACGGTGGTTTTCTGTGCAATTTACAGTCTGTTATATAAAAAAAGACTTTATTCCATATACATACCTTTAAATGCTGCATATACAAAGGTTTTGCCATGAGATATCACTGTACAGTTACAGAAACCTTAACCTATTTAGACTTTCTGGTCTTTTACTGTCATTCACTGTAAAATCCACAGACATTTTTTACATTGCACAGTAAATTACCCAGTTCATTAATTCAATTCAATTTCAATTCAATTTTATTTGTATAGCGCCAATTCATAACAGAAGTTATCTCAGGACACTTTTCAAATAGAGCAGGTCCTAGACCGAAAACTCCCTTAATAACATTTACCAGAGACCTCCAGAACCAGTGAACGACTTGAGCAAGAACCGATTCTTGCGACGGGGGGGCAAGGAAAAACTGCCTTTTTAACAGGCAACCTAGGACGAGAGCCCCCTTCGGCCCTCTAGAGTGGGGCTGGTCATCTGCTTCGACGCAGCTTGGGGTGAGAGAGAGAGAGAAGAGAAGAGAGAGAGAAAGAGAGAGAGACAGAACAGACAGACAGAAGCAAACAAACAGTAAGCGAACCAACTACACTAATCAGTGATGATGGAATGATGGGAAAAAAAAAAAAAAAAACATGAAGAAGATGAGACGACCAACAACAAGCACGATTGGGGGGAGCAATGAGCAGATGACAAGCAGCAACAACAGTAACCGTAAGCAATAATGTACTTATAAAATAATAACACCTAAACTAGCAGTATGCAGGACCGGTGGCAGGAAGGCTCCACCAGGATCCATGAGAACTTGCGAGACGAGAAAGCACAAGAACTCCGGGGAAGAAGTGAAGTTAGTAACTAATTAATGGGACATGAATGAGTGCAGAAAGAGAGAGAGAGGGAGAGAGGAGCTCCACCATGGGAAATCCCCTGATAGTCTAAGCCTATAGCAGCATAACTAGGGGATGGTTCAGGACTCACTCACCTGATTTTAACGTGTATGGTATTCCACAACAGTGAAGTGATGGCCTGTGAAATAGGAGAGGGTGTGTGCATTGGGAGATGGTTGAGGTTTGACACTGTCTCTCATTCCCATGCCAGTGGAAGCCTAAAATGAATGCTGTTTGACCTTGAAGCTCACACTGAAATACTGTACCTTTTAAACCATAGAACATGGACTAAATTCACCTTAATGCTTTCCTGACAGGACAGACAGTCCAGCTATAATAGGGAAAGAGAAGCTCAGACTAGAGGGTTTAATTTTGAGTGATGAATGTTTGGGCCCTCTTACAAATGTCTAGGGTTGATTGTCCCAAGCACTTCATGGGTCATGTTTTTTACCAGGTCTGGCCATTGTTAAACTTTTTGCAACAAAAACACATCTGTGGCTGGGATTATTATGGTGTCAGGGGTTTAAGATTTTCTAAATATTATAAGTAAGGGATCCTGGCCACCAGAACAAGCTGTAAGAGCTGTTAAAATGACACAGTCCCAGCTTGACAACGAATGATCCTGCACTTCTCATCAGCTGAGGTTTGTAAAGAACGCTCTTCATGACAACATGCCATTCATTCCATTTTTTAAATTTAATTTTAGTCCTAAATGAACACACTAATGGTCACAGTGCATGGCCACTGCAAAATATGTATTGCAAGCACATACATTTCATCACTCTCTTAAAAATTATGTGCGTATGATACTAATTTTCCAATTACGTTGCGATGGAAAATGTTATTGCAGCCAGTGCGTAGTTAGGTATAGGCAACAAGAGCAGTTTGAGACAGATTGTGGTTTCGGTTAAATGTCAATAAAGTAAACTTAACTCAATAAATTAAACTGCCGGCCTGTTATCAGACATTATCAGTCTAAGACTGCCTCCTAACCTGCTATAACTGTACCAAGAAAGGACTCAAATACAAGACTCAAGGCACAAGAGCTCAGTAAAATAAAGTTAGCAAAGTCAAAAGGCAGGCAGAAATCCAAAAAACTGAGGCACATGAAACACAAAGGAATGCTTGACTCAAAAATGAAGACAAACTGGCACAGAAGGGAAGGAACACAGTGACTTTATACTCTACAGGCGTGCAGGGAATCAAATCAAATTGACACTCATTTTTATCCATGTCAACACACTGGTTTTGTTTAGTTTTTTAATAGTGGAGTGGAGCGAAGTAAAATGAAATTACAATGTTGGGCAGTACTGAGAAGACATGCCATCTATGAACACCCTTGATAGCAGTGTCTATCTTGGTGTAAGTCAACTCGGTGAAGTGGGCTGATTTAAGCCTGGAGCCAGTGAAGTAAAACAAGACACAAGGACTACAAAATAAAACAGGAAACAACCAAACCAAACCCCAAATCATCACAGTAGCCCCTGAGTCCAAAAAGTCCAGGTGAGTGGAGAGGTCTAGAGGAGGGAGTCAGGGTCCTGAGAGCTGAAGAGGGACGGAGCAGGAGACCTCAGGTGAATGGCCTTGGGACAGGGCAAAAGCGGAACTGGAGACCTGAGGCTGAGCCTGGGTGACAGAACTCCTCTGGTGGCCGCAGAAGAAGGCAGTGGAACCCCTCTGATGGCTGGCCACAAGGCAGGAGAGCACGACTGTAGGCTGGCAGCTGGAGTGAAAGACTGGAGGCCGGCGGCTGGAGTGCAGGAGTGCAGGACTGCAGGCCAAAGGACGGAATGGAGGACCAGAGACCAGTGACACGAGTGCAATAAACAGATGCGGACAGTCCACAGACGAAGAACCAGGAACAGGTGTCAGGCGGACCACCGATGAGGAACCAGAAATAGATGTCAGCCTGTCTTTGGTAACAGCCAAAAAAAACTCCTCAGATACCGACATATACATAATTGGTGGTCAGTCTGTATCCAATTCAGCATGTATCTGATCCACCAACCACTGCTTATTTTAATGAGAATAATAATTTACCATCCTCTTTTCCCACTGAAAGAGCACAACTACAAAGGACACTGAACACACTAAGGTGACAATGCTGTCCAGATAATTTAATAAAGAAAAACATGCTGGAACATAAACTTACAAGATGACGAGGCAGTAATCCAAAACAGAAGGAAAAATCCATCAACTGAAAGTGGTAGTGCATACAATGAGAAAACACAAGGGAAAAGGCTGAACACTGATAAAAGACAAACTTGCAAATAATAATAATAAAAAAAAAACTCTAAAGCTGTACTGTAGTGTAGTCTGTTCAACTGTATAGTATGCAAACTTTCTGTATGCAAGAAATGCCAGGATGTATACAACATTAGCAATAATTTATGAGTATAGGGTAGTTAACTAGGAAAGTGAGCTTGCCTCATTTATTGTATTGGCTAACTTAAGGTCTTTTTGTTTCCTCTGCTGTAGTTTACTGTACAGCAGCTGTCATAATTATCTTAGAAAATTTACCTAAAGCGGTGCTTAACTAAACAGAAAAAATACAATCAAGTAAATAAAAATGTTGCCAAAGTCGTATGTTGCGTTGTGAGACTGTGGGAAAAGAGGGGTCTGTGAGCGAACAGCTTTTCAACTTTCAACTTTCTCAATGCACCATCAATATATCTTTGATATATTATATCCTTAGGCCACTCCCTCTCGGTCACAATTCAATTATTAAAATATTGAATATTGTACAGCTTGAGTTGGAAGTATGATCTCTAAATGCTTTCTATTTCTAAATGGGTCAGTTGTTTGTTTTTTGTCTTTTGACCATATATATTTGGTACATCTACACACACATTTTAAAAAGTTTCAATCCTCAGAGCCAAAAAAGCTGCCTTTGGTCAGGTGACATGGAAGCATACAGCACCACCAGAGCAAGACTGAAAGCTGGCATCAAGGAGGCAAAGCGAAGGCACCCAGCAGACACTTTGCAGCCCTACAATAGAGGTGGCTTAACTATGCCAAAAAATATTTTTACCATTTATCTAACGCCTTCACTCAATGAAAATGGTATACGCTATAGGCCCTTTTCACAAAAACTAAAGACAATTTAGTTTGTTCATTTAAACTAGATTAAACTAATAATAATTTTATATGTGGCTAAATTAAACATTTCTATGAAAATAACAAATTGGACAAACTGTTAAAATGACACTACCTTGTACAGTTCTTCATTGGAATAATGTTATGTAACCCTTTCTGTGTTGAATTGCCTACCTCTTCAACGCTGTGCTGCAGTCTCTAAGTAGGCCAGCAGCTGTCAGCCATCAGGACTTTTTTGGTCATAGGAGAGTCAAGCCAACTTTCACACTTAAGAGTTAGAGTATCTCTAATGGAATAGAACACTGCATGCCGGGGGCCTGCACACTGATAGTGATCATACATTTCTTGTTGCTTGTAAAGTCTTGAACCTGGAAAACAAAGGCAGTGGACAAAGAATACACAAATACATGATGTAAATGTAAACCCACTTTTTAATTTATCACCATAGAAACAACTGCCAAGAAAAACAAAAAAAAAACAATATTGTAATGTAAAATAACTGATAATATGTGCACTGTATCACCAACAAAGGTCAAAATGATAGTTGCATTTAGAAATCAAGCCAAATATTTAGAATATAGTCAAGAAGTTTTTAAAAAAGCCTCTTAAAATTTCTTAAAACCAATACACAATATACAGTGATGTTAAAATTTTATACAGAAAGAGAAATAAAATCATCATTATTTCAGATATTAGTCATAAAAGATTGTCCTGTTGGGGAAAAACATTAATAGCACATTAGGTAGGATTAGTATACACTATAGCCCTGCTGTATAAAAGTTTTAACATTCCACACGTACCATACAAATACATACATTGAAGGCTCAAGTTTGATTTGTCAATAAAAACATTGTCAGCACCTATTTCACCGGCAGTGTTCTGAATCCTAGTTCCAGACAAACTGTTAAATCATCATTAAATTAATGACCCAGGATCAATTTGCTGCCAATTATAATTTAGCCCACAGAAACCTTCTCCAACCTTCCCTGTTATCCTCAAACATTTTATCAAACAAATATCAGATCACTGCTTTTTGAATCCTTTCTCTTTGCTACTCAAATGACCTCTTTCTCTAACAACAACCTTATTTCCTCTCTAAAACCTGAGTGAAGCAGGATCTTAATATTTTCTCTGCTTAAACCCGAACAACACCCACACTACAGCAAAAGTCAAGCATTTATGAGGTACACATTTGTGCCCACCATACACCTTTCTTAGGGCATGTTGCATGATCAACTACACCAATGAAGGCCTATTGAAGTGAATGCATTAATTGCAGCAAATCCTCTGAAATCATTTAATTTTGCCACAAAATACTGGTTTTAGCAGGCCTTGAAGCTATAATATGTAACATTTCTGCATTTAAAAAGTCAAAAAACAACTAACCCTAACCTATGTTATATATTTTGCTGAGTTGTGTAATTACATTATCCCATATGTTTCCAACAATGTTTAATTGATTGAGATATCCATTATTTTCAAGATAATCGTGTGTTTCATTTGACTCGGGTCGGACATGTTGGATACGTCAGAGAGAATAAAACTTTATTACACCTTGTCCATGAACATGATTTCTGCCTGATTTTTCATCGATAATGGTGGTTGTTTAACATTAAAGACAACTGCCATAGGTATTTTATTATTGTTGTGATGTTAGAGACCCCTGGCAGCATATACTACATACTGCGCATTTAAATAATACAGAAAGAACTATGTATTGTTGTTAGAAATGTTATTAATTTGCTGGAGAGTGGGTCTAATGTAGTTTTGTAGTTCATCAGTAGGGTTACTCCTAAAGTCCGTACCTCCTTTGGCTGTCTCTAATTCCAGTTTGCTGCTCTGAGTGACTGCAATGAGTTACAAAAGATGGTAAAACTACACACCTCCATTTATTTACTAACTCATTACAAGCAACAGTTTCTAATCACTGCACCTGTTTTTGAATGTAATTTTTCTGGAACAAAGTACATAGATCTCTGTTGTTGTATATATTGTGTATGCTGCTACATTGACTTGCACTAGGTGTATGGATCTATGTTTTAATTGTTGTATTATCTTGTCTCCTGTTGCTGCCTCTTGGCCAGGATGTCATTATAAATGAAAATTGGTTCTCAATTGACTGGCTAAATAAAGATAAAATAAATAAAATAAAAATAAAAATAAATTTTAAAATCAGACTTTAATACCCTATGCATATGAGCTGTGTGCTTTAATAATACAATGTTGACTCATTCATTTCACCTACAGTAATACAATACCTGTAAGCCCAAGCAATCCTGTACCAGTGACAATAGCACAGCACCATTCATGTTTGCGGTCACATAACAGTGGTCACATTTGGAGTTGTGATTTCAGCCAGAAGAAGCGTCACCTCCTACTACTTTATGTACAGTATGTGTTTCCTAACAGCCACAAAACTGCAGACATTTGAGTGCCAATAAAAATCAGGCATTCAAACCTCACATCATCACTCTGCTCGTCTTCCACAACAGTGACAACAAATTCAAGTAAAAAAATATTCCAACAAATCACCCCAAGGTCTGCTACCAAACCCTGCCTCTATTCATCCAGTCTGCATCTTATCTAAAAACGCTGTTAAATCCATGTACTGTTATCCCTTTTAAAATAAAGGATATATATATATATAAAGAAAAAGAAAATAAAGTTTCCTCTATATTACAACTACTTAAATACACACTTGATTAGTATTATCCATAGGCTACTTCCTACCTAATGGCTTTTCATTTCATAAATTTTTTGAAAGGACACTTACTGGTAATAATTTACTCCAAACTGGTGCCCAGCTTTAATAAAAAGCTGGCAGCTGTAAATTCTCAAACCTTCATGCTAGAAAAAAAAAAAAAAGGAAATCCTAATTTGCAAAAAGCTCTAATACCCCACTTTTTCAGTTACATGAAGACAGAAGTCTGTGCATTGAGAATATGTAGGGTGTCGCATGATATTTAAGACCCTATCTAATATGCTATTGTATAGGTAGAGGGCTCACCCTGCCTTAAAAGACCAGTGTGTGGGATTTATTGGCAACTAGTGGTGTTGTTGCTGATTGCAACTCGCTGCCTTACCCACTACTTCCTTGCATGTAGAACCTACCGTGGTTGTGAAATGCATAAAAAAAAAGTGAAAGGCCCTATCTAGAGTGAGTGTTTGGTTTAACCAATCTGGGCTACTGTAGAAACATGGTGGTTCAACATGGCAAACTTTGTGGAAGAGGACCCATGGCGTCTCTAGATGTAAAAGGCTCATTCTAAAGTAACAAAAACAAAAACACAATTATTACTATTGCATCATTATACAGTAATGAAAACATAGTTGTCAATATTATATTCAATTTCTGCCATATTCTGCAAATAGAGCCCCTAAATTATACACACTGGACCTTTAGAGAACACCCCATTTAAATTTGGACACACTGGAATGACTGCCAGAATACTATATACAGTATCTGATTTTCCGTTGTTTGTCAGTCTTAATCTTGGTGATACAGTATTTTCTTTTAACTACTAACTATGTTGTTCCTATGTAGTGAAAATATGGAAAAACAGTTTACAGCTAATAATTGGATTTTTCTGCTGAAGATGCTGTTCATATGTATATGCTGTTTATCTGTGCTGTAGTCTAAGAAGAAATAAAGAAGAAGCTATTTCCCTGCAGATAGTGGACAGCACTAAATTCCCAGTGATTGAATGAAGAAGACACGTCAGTGATGTTTCTTGGATATTAAAAACAAATGGGAAATTTTCATTAAATTATCTTAAATAATTAAAATCTTAAAATGCACTGTAAGCATCATACTACAGCCTTGTTGGGACTAACGTTTCAAACCAATGAAAGAAAGATGAAAATGAAAAGTTTCACACACTGACTTGCTTTAACTGCAATCCATTTCAAACTGTCAAGTTACTCACAACAAATGTGAGTGAGTACACACACTATGCTAACATTTTACTCCAAAATTTGCCAATATCTGCATGCTAAAATAGGCACCACAATCATATCATAACAAAAATAAGTTACACTAAATCTGACAATCAGGGTAGAAATATATTTAAGACAATGCTTTTTCTTCTCCTAACGTAAACTTAATTAAGAGTTCAAATATAACTCTCTAAACCTTTCATCCAAATACAAACATATTCATCATGGCATCATTCATATTAGTGGTGACTAATTCCAAAGGGCAAATACTAAATTTTGAAACCACCATTCACACACCAGCAGATCTGAATAAATTAAAAACATCTGAAAAATGTTCCTCATAAATCAGTAATCTTAATAAAATAGCTTTTTCCAAAGCTGTGGAAAAATGCAGTTAGGAAACACAAAATGGAAGCTACTCTGCTTTTACAGTGTGTTATTTTTTTCACAGTAATGCTTTATTTTACATGACTGTAATTCCCTAATTATTTCATGTAGAAACATTCACATGCAGTAATTTTGGCTTGCTTTAGTAATACAAATTATTGAACAATGACTAAAAAAATGAATCATGAGGCCATTGTTACCCAGAACAGGTATTATGCCATCATGTTGAGCAACTATTAAAATGTCTCTGACAAAATCCATGTTAATAATACATAAACAGTAGAAAATAGACTGGTAATTCCTGACAAATAATATAATTATTCAGCTAAATCAGCAAACCATATTTGTTTTTGCTTAAAGCTGCAAATGTTTTCACATTCAAATATGAATAAATAAATTATGTATATTTGGCATTATAGCTCTGTGTTTTGTAATATATATGCTGGGAAGGTAAAATACCTATTGATTGTGACTCATAGAGGATTCCTTCAATGGTCTGTATTATAGTTTTTTTATATAATAATTTGGCAATGGCAATAGCAATAACAGCAAACATAAATAAATAAATATACAAACTAAAATTGTACAGTCTTTCCCAGAGTGGCCAGAAACACACACAATCTTGTATGCTTAAAACTAAACTTAAAAGCCCTCCAGCAAAAGTAGATCTAAACATCAGCTCTAAGCAGAAGAGAGAAAAAAAACAACACAATACTTTTCTTGGACTGAAATTGTCAGTGCAATTACATAGTATAGTTGCAACTAAATGTGTTGCATATTCAAACATTTTGTATGCTTTAAATTTTATATTTTAAACAAAAAAAAAAAATTACCAGAAAGTCATTTTGTACATGGATCACATGTTTTCGTACACTGGTACATTTCACAGACAAGTGTCTGTCATCGTGCAGTGTAGCACACATTCAGGATTCCACTTTAAAAGGTCCAGTGTGAAACATTTAGGAGGATCGGTATGTTTTGATTAGTTTATAATCACCTGAAAATAACAACTGACATGTTTTTCGTTACCTTACCTTTATCTACAGTGTAAACAGATCCTCTTCTACAAGGCCACCATGTTTCTCAAAACAACAAACCAAACACTTGCTCTAGATAGGGACTTTAGAGTTTTCTCCTACACAGGCTGCACAGTTTTTAAGTTTGCTAGATGCCACCAAATCCCACACACTGAACCTTTAACA